TTGGTAGCGGATATTGAACAGTGATGTTTGATCGCCGAATATCTGGGACAGTGTTCTGACCGTTTCATCAAAGCTGAGGTCGCGGGGCAGCTTGGGGAGAATGAAATTTGTGAACCGTTCATGCTCCGGTGTGCCGAGTTTTCGCAGCAATAGTCTGACTTTCCATCCATCGTCAAATTTGGAAAAATCAGTTTTGAACATGTCTTCGTACCGCTTGAACCAGGAGTCAAAAGTGTGACCAGAAAGAGCGTCAAATGTGAACTCCTTAATTGAGGCCGCGGCTGCATCAGTTGAGGAAACAGAAGACTCACCAGTACTGACTGCTGATGTTTGGATGTGCAGTTTGTGGTCAGTGATTGGGATCCGCGTGGATTCCTGCCTAACAGTTATTTTGGTTTGTTTTTCTAGTTTTTGGTTGAGACATGGAACAGTGGCTAGGGGATTGGCGGATGGGTAGACTGCACTGTATAGTACGATGGGTTGGGAGAGAATGAGGAAGGAGGCCGGTGAGCGAAGAGCTGCAATCTTAACTGATATTTCCCTGTTGCCCAGGCCGAAAAAGGGGGCTTAGTTAAGGCGCCCGGCTTTGAGCCTTTGCCTCAAAAGCCCGACTCAGTGGAATGATGTAGGGTTTTGTTCGGGGACCCTGATCATAGCCTCCGACCCAAGAGTTTGGACCGCGAGACAGTGAATGTTGGGGTTTTCTTGGGGACCCTTCCCGGAGCCAGTGATTCAATACTTTGACCTACTTGGTTGTAGAGGGCCGGCCTGGTCTGAGGGCGCCGGGAGTAGGGCATTACCCTCTCACTCCTGATGCAGCTGCATACAGCAGGTGCCCTTTGGGCAGCACCGGACTCTTTGGTCTTAAAGGTACTTCGACCGTATTGAATAATGCGCCGGCGGTCACGGTCAACCGTTGGGCAATCGGAGTGTGCGGTTTTGGGGCCGACCTTATCTAATCCGTCCTTCCTCGGAGGAAGGCAACATCGCTGCTTCCATAACTATGAACATGCTGGTCGCCTAGAGGAAATGCCCTACCGCCCACACACTCCTATCGCAGAGGACAGTGTGACTTTACCTCCATACCGCCTCGTAGGATGATTACTCGTAGTACGGGGACTCGCTATTCTTCGTCGGGCTGCTCCCCGTTTGCCTTCCTGACATGGTTGAACCTTTAGGAACTGAGTTCCGGCCAATATAGCCCGCAGGATCATTACAGCGTAGAAGCCCGACCACCGCGACAAGATGATAACTTTGGGTCGGGAGCGACCATTTACTGGGATTCAATCCAGCAAAGCGCATCCAGCTCTGGAGCTGATTGCAATTTCCACCGTATATTCCTCGAGTCATCGCTTCTGAATCACAAGACGCGCGGATGGCGAAATATGAAAGAGCTGAGCTCGTCCTTGATGTTCTGAATTACATGATCACTCTTGGGATGCGGAGATAGCATATATATATTTTAAGTCGAGGATTGCTTGTTTGCCAGTCATCATGATGGGCAGCATGACATAAGTTTTCAACACTAATGTTTCGCTGCCGTACAGTCGTGATTTATTTGAAAGCATTATTGAAAAGAAAAGAATAAAGGTGGACAGGTGTTGGTCATCATATCCCACGACCAAGAGAGCCGAAGGTAGTTTCCAAGTATAGGTCGGTTGCCGTTTTTAGCTGCTGGAATCGATCTCACTGTACCAGAATCTGGCGTGCAGTGAATATGTGATCCTTGAATCCAGCCTGGCTTTGATGGATGTGCTTCAGCTCATTTGACGAAAGGTGAGGCCAGAGAATACTTTCAATGACACAGCTACCTGGCTGATGTCACGATGGATTTTACACGGTTCATGACTCTTTTGAAGATGGGCTCGATTGTTATAGTGGCATATTCACCGAACACATTATCTTGATTCTGTGTAGCATTAGTAATTTTTACCAGGTAACCAGGGTGTACTTGCTTTTCAAGGGGACGTTACAAACCTTGCGGTCCTGGCGTTATCTTATGTTTCCAGGAGGACATTTCGCGCTTCATCATTTCTGATGCCCAATTAGGGTCTACATTCCATTCGCCCTCTTGCGTTTCATCGGAGCACTTCGTTGGGAGGCGACCTCGGCCGAATTAACGCCCGTTGTTAGCGAGTTTTGGGTATCGGAGGCCGATCACCTCAGTTATTGGAGGATCTGTTGCATCTATTCTCCTATACTCAACTTCTTATCTACGCTTTGTTCTGCAGTATCGGCTGCAACCCAGATCGCCGTGCATACGTACGTGGCTGTTCGTAGAGCTGCCAGAAACCCCGTGCTACTGAATAAATTTTTCAGAGTCA